ATGCATTTGTCAAAATTCACCGAACAGTACAAGCAAGATCTGTGCACTTTACTGTATATTAATTATACCTCAAGAAATAATTTTAAATTAGAATCTTTCATATTAAAATAAAGATAGTACCTGCAAAGTTTTTCTCTGCTCCCTAGCTCCAACAATGTTTGATATCAATGTGTTCACTCTGTAGAGGACTCTATCCTTGGAGAGTCTACTGAGCCCCATGTGTGGGTCAATGTCCATGATTACCAGAAAGTTTGGAGTGGGACAGACACAAACACAACCGACAGACACCAATACAATGACCCAAGACCCCTTTAAATAAATGTCACCATACACCACCAAAACAAAAGGTTATTTTATCCCTAAACCAACAGCCCAAACCATCCAGTCTGCCCTCCCTTATGGCTTCCCAACTTTTAAGCAGCTTCAATTTCTTATGAAGTAACAAATACACCTGAATGCTGGAACAGAAGCCAAGTCACTTGCTTATACACACATCACCACTGCACTTGTCCAGGCAGCATCTAACCTAATGCCCCACCATCCATTTCTTTAATGAATACATATTAAGAAGCAACCAGCAGTCAAAGCCAGAGAAGAGATAACAGCACAAAGAATCACGGACAGAAACAAAAACCCTGTTCTGCCCAGGAAACGATTAACAAGCCTCAATGAGAAAGGTCTCACTCAAGTCAAGTTTTACTGCTCTACAGGAGACCAGAGAAATGTTTATTCCAACAGTGCATTAATATTATATTCTTGCTGAAGACTTGGCTTAGTGCCAAAACACTGATTACTTCATCACTGTATGACGTACAAGGCTCGAGCTTCTAGGATCATCAGAACATTATCACACATTAAAAAAAAAAAAAAAAAGACCATTTTCAACCACGAGTTGGACCACATCAGGCTATTTCAGCCCAGCTCCCTCATGCTGGCCCCTAAATTCCTTTCAAACGGTTTAGGCAGAAAATTCCAATAGAGGTGGAGTGGAAGAGGGCTGGGGAGAAATCAAGAGACAAAAGCCAGGTGGTAGGAGGTATGTTGAGACAACTGAATTAGAAACCCTCAGCCACCTCGCCACCTCGCCAAACTGTGGTAACAGCACAGGTGGCCAAAGCCGCCTAGACTCCCTGGTGATGTCAGACTTGGGCACGAAGCTAGCATCTGCTGTTAACAGTGAGCGCTACCCCCACTGGGGCTACAGGAGTGTGCCGTGGGAGGCTTGTCCTTAAAGGATTCTGCTGTTTTTCTGAGATATGGGAAGGAGGCCAGTTTTCTAAAGAAAGGGCCCACTGATTAATCACTATGTATCAGTGTAGATTACTGCAGGCGGCTGTTCTGAGAGGTGGCACCCACGAGGCCATGGGGGACCACATTCCCAGGCCACCCAATGCACTGTGACTGTCAGCAGGGGCCAGCATTCCCCACGGTCTGCCCGACTCTCTCCCTGGTAAAGATGGTATGGGCTGCTCTGAAGCGTCCTGAAGTCCAGTGGGGCTGACAGGCTTGCAATGGGTCCAACAAAAACAGATAAAGCTCACACTTCCGTGTGACTTTCTCACAGCTCAGTGGCCGGAGGGCTTCGTTCACAGGGGACCACACCCTGATAACAGACAGAGCCCACACCCATTATCCATCAGGGCTGATACAGGAAAAGGGCTGAGGCTGAAGCCGCATGACTGACATCAGAGTCTGTGTAATGTTTCTGTGGACCACTCCCAGGGGACCAAGTCACAGCAGTGCCAGTGGGCAAGGCTTCTAGGAATACCTGCGCCGAGGGTGAGAGCGCAGTCAGGGGCACCACTGTGTGCCTGAGAACCTCTGCTCCAGTCAACCAGGGTGGCCCACGGTCCCACCCTGAGGACACAAGTATAAAAAGGTCTGTTAGGAGGCAGTCCAGTCGGGACCCTGAGGGAAATCCACCTTAGAGCCAGGCACCACAACACAATTTTCATTCTTATGGAAACAGAGCAGTTACTTCCCTAAGTTCAGTAAATGGAGAAAGACTAGACACCAAAAAATGCCGTAAGACGGTTCACTTCAGCACAAGAAATACCCTAGCAAAAGGAATCTGGCTACTTCTGTGTTCCTAATAATCCAACTCCAGCACGAAGTGCTCTGGCTCCGTCACATCACAACTGGGGACACACAAGCAAAACGTAAACACACTGTCGGAGCAGGCCAACGCAAGGGGCCTCTCCCTGTCCTAAGCAGGGAGCCCACCTTCAAGGTCAGTCTCTGGGCCCTCAGTCCTTCCAGAATACTGTGGCCGCCTCCAATGAGGTCATCCATGCCACGGTGGGCTTTTTGGAGGGAGGAGTTAAACTGCAGGGACTCGTCCATCGGGATGGTGGTGTCAGAGTCCTGTGAAAGAAATGCAGGGGCAGGATTAACTCTGCTCACTGGTCACCTCCCGGGGTCCCTTCCGCTGAGTGAAGTGGAGCCAGGAGAACTGCCAGAGGGAAGAGTGCAAGAATCAAAGGAACCAAAGAGAGGAAAATGCAGAGATCTGGAATGGTCTCTGTGCACAGGGGAAAGAGGGGCTTTTCAGACTTGTCACTTCCCCAATAACCCTGCCACAGCAGTCGGTTCATTCCTGCCTCTGGGTCGTCACCCCCACTCAGGCAAAACTCTCCAGTGTCTCAAGACCTCATCAGGCTCCGTCCAAAGGCTCCTCTGACTGTTAGCTCATTAGCCTAGTTTGCTTCGCATGGTCCTTCCCTTGGCTACCCCTAATGCAGTACTAAGGGTTCGTTTTTGCTCTTCAGCCATTTCATCTATAGTGTCTCTCTCCCATTAGACTGAGAGTAGAAGAGACTGTGTTTTCAATTGAAGCCTTATTGGTGTTTGATGGGACTATGTTCCCAAGCAAGGAGTCTGGGTGGCACTGTGGTTAAGCACTTGGTGGTAACGGAAAGGTTGGCAGTTGGAACCCACCAGCTGCTATGTAGGAAAAAGATGTGGCAGTCTGCTTCCATAAATCTACAGTCTTGGAAACCCTATGGGGCAGTCTGACTCTGCCCTACAGGGCCCCTACTAGATGGAATCGACTCAACAGCACTGGATTATGCTCCCAAGCAGGCAATAAAAGTTTGCTAAACAAATGGAGGGCGAAACAACTAATATGGATCAAGTACTCTCCACCTCACATGCTCATTACCTGAAGCTGCTGCAGTCCCCATACCAGCCCTGAGAGGTACTTAAGACTACTTCTTCCCCCATTTTACAGATGAAGAAACTGAAGCCCAGAGAGGAGGGATAGCTTGTCCTAGATCACACAGCTCGTGAGGAAATAGTGAGTGGGGCATGAACCCTGGTACTTAGTGCAAGAGAAATACCAACACCGAACCTGGTGGCTCTCACTGCACGCTGAAGCGGACTATACACAGAAACAAGCTAGTAACCAGATGTCATACTGTTCTCTTCCTTTCGCAGCTCCTGACCATCACAAACCGTTCTGCTAGGCACCACTGTTTCTACCACGCAGTTTCATCTGTCACAAAGAGGTCAGACCACCCTTTCCCTGCTGCTCCAGTTCAGATGCTTCTATTCCCTGCTAACATGGCGGCTTCTCACAGGTAAGTCTCTTAACCTTTCCACAGGCTTTACTCTTAGCACTTTAGACCTTGCTCTGCATACAGCTAGTGCTCAGTGGGTCAGAAAGCCCCAGGGTTTGAACGAATCCATTAGGGACTTCTCTTTCTTCATGTGACAAGCATTTATTACATGTCTTTTATATATAAAGCTTTCCTCCCTTGCTACCTGAAGGGTATGGCTGATGGGCCACATTCTCTCAGAGAAATGTATTAAACCTCCAGATAGCAGGGTGACCAGGAAGAAGCTCATTAGGCAAGTCCAAGTTTACTAAGGGCCCACAGTACGCACAGAATCACACCAAACTGGCAAGAAACAAAATAGTCCTCAATGAGCATTCCTGGTCTAAAAAAAGGCCTGAAGACAAAACGCTAAATATCAGAAGCCCCAGAGCCTCTTTGAGTGCTATGGTTCATTACAGTTTTGAATTGTTAATCACAGCTACCGGACGGACGGCTTACAGCACAGACACGAACTGCAGAGGCACCTCCAAAAACAAGCGGGACAATTCACTGGCAAACCCGGAAGCAGCTGGGAACAGCATGAAACACCTGCAAAGCAAGGGCTGATCTGAATTCTGATGGCGCCTTAGAAAGGCAACACCACTTTAGAAAATGGGGGAGAAAAAAAAGATGAAATACAAAAACCAACCAACCAGCCAAAAAAGCCCTTGTCTGGTGGACTGCACTATGCTGGACATGGAAGGAGACCAATGTGTCTGCGGCTGCGTGTGGGAAATGCTCCTACTAAGACTGAAGGGCAGGGACAATGGTGTTCTAAGAAATCAAACATCCAACCAACAGCCACCTCCAAACAGGCTCAAGTCCAGCAATCTATCTATACCTAAAGGGCTGTTAACAAACTCTCCCAGACCACTGCTCAGACTAGGGCCAAAAACATTTTATGACTCTGACAAGTGGAACCTCTATTCCCAATACACACACACACCCCAAAGCACAAAGGCAACTGCCTGCAGGCAGCTTTGAAATGCTGCCTTCCTCACAGTCAGTCTCAGGTCTAATCATGTGTCTCTCTCTATCTGATCAGAAAAAAACATACCCACCACGCGTGAACTTCCACCTCTACAGCGGACCAGTCAAACCAGGTAATTTTCACCTCTGCCCAGCCCCCTAATTGAACTGCTTCTTCCTCAGGCTTTTGTGTGAGAAAAAGAGATTCCCTGTCAAGGTGCGTAAAGTCCACTGTCATTTCCAGTTGGTCTTGTCCTGGTCCGTGGGCTCCAGACACCCGAGCGGATGAAGCTCAGGGGCCTGCACTCCAGCCCCAGGCAGCTGTTGGTGCGCCTGCCACCCCGCCCCCACCCCCAGGGGCCTGGCTTACGTTGGTGGTGAAGGTTTGAGACAGCAGCTCCTCTCGCTGCCTCTCCTGCTCCTCCCTCGCGTAGCGCTGGTGCTGGAAGTTTCTGAGAGCAGTCTGCAGGTGCTGGACATCATACTTTAACTGGTCAACCCGACTGGAATTGATGGGGACAGAGATTAAATTCCAGGAACGAACGTGGCTCAATCGGTGGGAGCCAGTCTTTGTTTGAGGGAGGGAGACCTGTCTTTCCTTCTCTTTACAGCAGCCCCCTAAAATCCAATTTGATCAATGATGTTGAGAGTAAAGACGGGCCGCTTGTGGTTAAAGCAGGGTTGTGAGTACCCACAGAGATCCCAGCAGCTTTACTAAAGTATCTGCTGGCTCTGATTCTGGGTGCACGACAGGGAACAGGTGACAGGAAGCAGGCTTCAGGGACCTCTTCCTGACCTTCTAAGGATTATATGGCTCTCCTAGAAGCAGCCCAAGGGCACCTTTGGCATAGTTTCAACAGACTTGTGGGAGCAGGGGCTAGGGCTGTAGGGGGTTTCATTTGAATTTCATGGTGGGTATATCAAGCACTAGATCAGTATTTCATTATAAATGGGCTGATTGAAGTGATTAAGAAGAGTTCATTTCAACCCAAGATCGCCGTGGGAACCCCAGAGCAGGCCTCCTTGGCACAGGACTCAGTTGCTGTGGGCTTGGTCAGAAGAACAGCACTGAAGGCAAAATTTCAAATGATGCAAAAGAAGTAAAGTGATGCAAGGCTTCTGAGCCCCAAATCTCACAGGCTTTTTTTTACTCTGAGGGAGCACCGCTCAGGTGGAACTGTGCCCTTTAGGAGGACTTCACCTTGGCGCCGTCTCAGGTCTTTCGACATATAAATGGATTTTCAGAATATTCTACAGGTGTCCCTGGGAGGAAGGCCTGCCTTGATGGGCTTGGGGTCTCAGAGCCAGGTCAGAGGTCAGCACTCACAGTTTGGCATTCTGCCTTTTGTTAGGGGGTTCCTTGTTGGATAAAATCTCCAGACGGTCTAGGTGGCTGAATATCTGGTCTATTCTTGCTTGGATTTCATTTTCTACTACTGCATAAAAAAGAAACAGGAGTAATTGCTGGAAAAGCGACAGTGAACGTACATTAGAATGACAAACCATGTGTACCTTTTTTTTTTTTTAAACAATATCCAGTAAGCTCACAAATATATATTTCAAAAGGAGAAAAATGGACACGTTAATGAATACGGGAAAGAACTCAAGGCATACAAAGGAAAAACTATCTCTGCAATGCCAATTTTTAAAAAAGCTGGTGGCTAATATCTAGAAATAAATTTCCTGCCTTTAGAAAAGCAAAATGAAAAATTTAAAGGTTGTCCAAATAAATATTTTAAGTTAAACGCAGTATCTTCTGATACACAATGAGGTCTTTTTCCCTTTGAGATTGTGCTCAGATATGGATTATGAATACTTGGTAAAAAGACTGCCAAGTGAATTCCCTACGGTATGAGGTTAAAAAGAATCGTCAAGGGAGGGAGATTAGTATGTGCCCCACAGACAGGACGTCCCTTAAGGCTTTCCCAAGAATGGGTGGGATGACCAACGTTTGCTACTCCAAAATAGACCAAGTATCAATAGGAAAGGCCCAGGAAAGAATCCACAGAGGTGAAGAATAGTAAATCCAGTCATTTTCCTTATCCTTTTTGATAAGTCAGTTAACATGACCCCTTTTCCATTTCTAATCGTGAAACAATGGGGTTGTTGGGAAGGCAAACAGTCGGGTGGGCAGACACTAAACTGAGCACAGAAGGTGTCCAGACTGCTTCTTGCCTCTCAAGTGACAGCAGCGGGGACACTGCTCCGTCCTAGGGCTTCACGCCTACAGCTAAGACACAGCTGAGATTAGAGCAAGGTGGGGCTCAGAACCAAGAGATGAGAGGATGCTTCTGAAGCTGCAGGAGGAGGCAACAGGGAAACGGGCAGGAGCCAGGTGAGAACGGGCAGGAGACAAGTTAGAATGGGCAGGAGCTCATGGGTAACCCGCAGCATCCAGAGGACCCGCTCCACTGAAGGAATTTCTCTAACAGAATTAAAAACAAAAAAAGCACTTGTCTCAAAAGAGACCATGGTGTGGGAATGAAACTAATTAATACCGCTGCTCCTTTCCGAATAATCCTCCTAAAGACCCACTGTTCTCAGCGCAGAAGCTTCCCTTCAAACATCTGAATGTTTATGGACTGCATTCCTCTAAGGACTCAGTAATTAGATTAAGACAGATGGAGGGAAGAACTTCCATTCCCAAGAGGCCATGTCAGGTTGAGTGGAAGGGTAATGGGGGATAAGACTTGTGGGATTCCAGAGGGTACAATCAGGGAAATCAGCCACTTTGCCAAGGGGTGTTTCTGTCCACCCTCCCAACAAAACTCATTGCCGCTGAATCATTAAGCCCCGAGGCAGAAAGGCAGGCAGGAAACCCAGCCCATTAGCACCGTGTCATCAGAGAAAGGACTCTGGTCTCCTAGTTAATTACTCACAGTGCAGAGACTGCTTGTCGGCCGTCTCCAGGCGTCCCATGTGAGACTGGATCTCGTGGACCTGCCTATCAGAGGGAGGAAATGAGTGAGCCAGGAGTAGTCAACAGCACTGCAGTCAGGAAAGACAATTTTTCTGATGCCAACACTTAACAGATTTAAACTGACAGCATCGTTGAACTATAAAATTTGTAGGTGGCACTTTAGGCCAAATGTTTTGGCATGGTTTCTAATTAACTTTAACACGTTTGGAGCAATACCGATAGGCAGCATTTACTGAGTGCTTCCCACATACAAGATAATTCTGCTCAGTCAGTAAGTCTATGAAGAAGGCACCATTATCATCTTCACTTAATAAACGGGACAAATGAAGCTCAGAATGGTTATGTAACTTGTTCAAGGTCACACAGCAAGTGATAGGCCTGGATCTGCATCAGCTAATCCCACTCTCTGTTCCATGATCCAATGTGCTGAGTAGTGGTCTACTAACCCATTCTGAACCCATTGCCTTCAAGTTGATTCTGATGACTCATAGTGACCCTCCAGGAGACAGTAGAACTGCCCCATAGGGTTTCCAAAGCTGAATCTTTATGAAAGCAGACCGATACCTCTCACTCCTGAAGAGTGGAAGAGTGGCTAGTGGGTTCAAACTACTGACTTTTCGGTTAGCAGCCGAACTCTTAACCAGTGTACCACCAGGGCTCCCTTGGTCTGTACCTGGGTGAGCCAAAGGGCAAGGGAGAGATAATCCTTGTTCTCAAGATACAATGTAATTAGCAATGACAGGGCAGAGAGACATGAAGATTTAAGAGAAAAACAACGTATCTAGGTGCAAACAAACAACGCTGAGGAGCTGTGCACAGTGGTGCCAAGCAAAGACAAGCGGATGGCTGTGAACGAGAAAAGGGGAGAGAGGTTTGTGGGTGGGGGAGTTCTGAGCATCATTTAGAAGAAGGGAGGCATGATTTGGTGTGTCACGTGGATCACACACAGGTTGGCCTGCCTGAAAGGTCAGAGGGGAGAGGAGGTAGAAGCAATCAGATAGAGGAAACCACTCAGAGGAAGGCCCTGAAAGGCAGGGATCTCCCTCTTGGGTACAATCTTTCCCTGGCTACTGGCATCTCATTTTGGAAATGCAACACTGTATCTTGGACCTCTGGTGGGGTCCAAGACATCAAGCCCCAGAGCTGGCTCTTCAAACATCTGAAGTTGACAGGAGAAGGGAGAAGTGGGCTTTTCTCTGTTGCTGCTGCTCAAGGGAGACCTAGAGCCAGTAAGTGTAAGTCTGAAGGTAACAGATTTCAGCTTAAACAGAAGGAAAAGCAGGAACAATTATGAAATGTCTCAAGAAAAGAAATTATAAAAGAGAGTGAGCTCCCTTTTACCCAAATCACAGTAATTTAAAAAGAGAGAGAGAGAGAAAGTGAACTCCTGCACTGTTTAAACACAGGGGATGGGGACTACCTTAGGCTTTACACAGGGTCTTCCCAACCAGTAGGAGTCGGAAGATCTTGGCCAAAATAAAAAACCAAACCCACTGCCATCAAATAGATTCTGACTCCTATAGTGACCTAATAGGACAGAGTAGAACAGCTCTGTCAGTTTTCCAAGGCTGCAAATCTGTACAGAAGCAGACTGCCACATCATTCTCCCTTGGAACAGCGGTGGGTTCCAACTGCCGACCTTTTTTGGTTAGCAGCCAAATGCCTTAACCACTATACCACCAGAGCTCCAGAGATCTTGGCAGTCCCTTTTGATTCTTAAATTCTATAGACCAGCCAGAAGAGATGATGCCAACACCAAGTCAACTCTAGTAATACTCTTCAGTTGGTTTGATTCAACAATTTTTTTTAAATTAAAAAGGATAAACTTCAAGTTGCAGGGTAACATTACTGACTTTTCTCATTCAATTTCTGTTTGCTTTGAATGAACTAGACAAGATACAGCCAATAAAGTGGTTTCTATCTCTCCATTTCATGCCTGAAAGGAAATACATCCAAGGCAACAAAGCAAGTATGAATGGCACGGTGGGAATGAGTAACATGCCAAGTGGAAAATCTGTTTTAAACGGAACTGGAATTCGGACCACACACTCAAAACCGATAAGGAACAGGTGATACACAGTACGACCTGAGAGTTTGGACAGATTTGGGTGACAATAGAACCAAGTAGAGACCTATTAGCGAGTAGGCAAGGGGCACTGTGCCAATGGGCTGTTTTAAAAGGGGTTTTCAGAAGATTTTAGAAAGAATTTGAAAATTAAACTGCTTTTTAAAACTCCATGAAACTAATCCCCCTTTCACACTCCCCCAATTCTTCATCTCCCCCCCCCCCCATGCTGTCTCCAACCACCGTGAGCAGAAGGGTAGAGTGGAAACAGGGTTTTGGAATTAAAAGACTAAGTTGACATTCTAGTTCTATGTACCAGCCGAGGGACACTGAGCATGCCATTTAACTCCTTGGTGCTTTAGTCTCCTCAACTGTGAAATACAACACTGATGATAATAGTTAATTAAAGGGTCTTAGATCCAAATGCCACATTGAAATGTTATAGTCTAAACAGCATCACACAAGAGTTCACTTGTAATTCTCACTTTACAAGCAGTGCAAGTCATCTGGGCGTTTGTACCTCACCCACTTTGCCTCTACCTAGACCTAGTCTGCTTATATTCAGCCTTTAACTCATCAGAGGGCAAAATCGAAAAAGGAAAAACTGGTCTTGAGATAAGGAAGTAGTTCTCACACTCTGGGTTCATCAAAGTCACCTGGAGAGCTTGTTAAAAATAGAGCTTCCTGAGTCTCAGGCCTATTGAATCAGAACTTCCAGGGATAATGTCCAGGGTACTGGACTAATCCTGGACTACAGCAGAAGACAAATGTGGGCACCTTTACAACCACTGAGCTCTCACAAGCAGAAGCTGGCTATTAGTCCTCTATAAAATCCATCCTAATGCAGAATTATTTAAATACAAAATGTTGACTGTTTTTCATCTACCTCCCTGCCCCCATTCCTGTTCAGGCAGTTCAGGAGTTTTCAAGATCTAGAACTTTAAAATGCTGATCTAATTACAATGTACTGTTAGGGAACATGGCAAGTGATAAGCACAAATTGGGCTCAAAGTTCCAATAAAAGCAGTATGATCAGTTACTGTTGTGTCAATTCAGCTACTATCATTAATTTCTGCAATTGCAAAACTTAATTGCTGGTGTTCACAGCACTTCATGTGTTTCCTTTTAGAGACACTCAGTCATTAGTATTAAGAACTGAAAGGAGCCTTATGGTTTGACCAATGCAAAGCTATTACTTTACTATGAGAAAAACAAGCAAAGACTTCCAGAACCAGATCTCCCACTCCTGGTTCACTACTTGAAGGGAAAGGCTGATGAGAACATACTGCAGCATGAAAGGTTAACTTCCTTGAGGGCAGGGCCACAGTGTCATCACTGAGAACGGTGTGTGACATAGTAAAACTAGTAGCCATCAAGCTGACTTTGCCTCACGACTCCATGGTGCGTCAGAGTAGAACTGTGCTCATAAAGTTTTCAATCACTGATTTTTCAGAAGTAGCTCACCAGGTCTTTCTTCTAAATCACTTCTGGGTGGACTCAAACTGCCGACCTTTCAGTTAACAGCGAAGTGCATTAACAATACACACCACCCAGGGACTCCTGACAGAGTAAGAGCACAATAACCATCGACTGAGTGAGGCCTAATAGTGGTGGGTGAAACCTGGCCCACAGTCTGTTTTTGTAAATAAAGTTTTATTGGAACACAGACACAGATAGTATTTACAGATTGTCTATGGCTGCTTTTGCACTAAACTGCAGAGCTGAACAGCTGCAACAGAAGCTCTATGGCCAACAAAGCCTAAACTATTTACCATCTGGCCCTTCAAAGAAAATTTTGGAAAATCTTGGTGTAGAGTCTGAGAGTGGGTTGTTGGAGGCCTGCAGCAGTGTAAGTGGTTTGTTCATATTCCACAGTCTTGTTTAGGAGAAATTTGCACAGAATTGAGCCACTTACATTTCTGGGACCAGCTGTCAACTGCAGTGTTCAGAAGTGCAGTCTAAGACTCTCTGAACAAAATTATTCTTGAGAAGAAACTGGGTCACAGCCTCCTTAGCAATATCCTTTAGCCAAATTAACTAGATGAGACTCTACATTACAGTTTAACTTCAAGGCACTCTTCAGCCCCTGCCTTGCCAGTGTGAAAGATCTGCCATTAGTAACATGAGCATAACTTTGTTTCATTTTTTTCTCCAGCTGACCCAAAAGTCTAGCTTTTCAACTCCCTTCTTATAATTTTTATATGAGAATCGGGTCCCAGTGTAAAAGCAAATTCCATTATTTTCATCCTATTAAAAAGTAGGTTCTATATTTTCACCAACTCAAATCAAATGCTTCACTGTCAACATAAAAAGAAACTCACAAAGATAGAAAAAAAAAAAAAGATAAAAGGAACATTATCTTTTTATTCCTAGTGTTCCCAAGTATTTCTCTGGATGTGAATTCATTAGAGGGGGGTTGGGTGCCTATTTTATTTCATTCCCAGACTCTTGGGTGTGTGATTTCAAGTGTTTTCATCAGAATAAATTTGAAAGCTGTTAAAATAGGATACATAAGGCCCCTATTACCATGCCCAAATACACATCTCAGCAAGTTCCAAAAATGCAGGACAATATGAACAAAGACCACTACCAAGGAGGATAGGAGAACCCCAAATTCGGTTTCTTTAAAGATAGCCCATCACCACATATTAATAGCAAACACTACTACTGAATGTTACTTGTTCAGCAATATCTTTGTACCGTTGAAAAATGGTCTTTAGAGTAAACCAACCCAACTCAACATAATTTATTTATTTATTTAAAATCACGGTGTGGCAGCAATGCGTTCGAAGCCAATCCAGAAAAGGGACTAACATCATTTGGAACTGAGAGCTATAATGAAACTTTCTCTGACCTCAACCCAGTGGTGGATCCTTCTAAATTGCTTCAGGAAATCCTGCTTCTACTGCTTAGTTACCCTGCCTCATCCTGCCACACGTTAGCTATTTTCGAACGTATCTTGATTTTCCAACGAAACAGTAAACTCTTAGGGGCAGAGACCATGTCTCCTACTTCCCGTGTCTCCCACAAGCTTTACCAAGCGAAGCACCGAGTTGGTAGGTGCTGGACATAGTACTACAACCGGTAGGTGCGATTTCCCCTCGAACAGCCCAGCCCATAGTCAAAGACTCGCAGGCTCGGGTAGCGATCCCAGGAGCGACCCGGCCCAACGTCCCCAGGACCCAGGCTGGACCCTCTGTCAGCTTAAGACCTGGGCATCGAGCCAGGGATTGAGCTGTCCCCGGCGGAAGGACTCGACGTCCGCACTATCTGACGCCCCAGGTCTCAGTCCCTTGGAACGGCGTCGCCCGGCCTGGCCTCGCCCCCGTCCGTGCCCCACCGCGGCCCTCACTTGTGCGTTTGTTGGTACAGTGGCTCCATGGCGCCAGGCCCGCCGGCTGCAGATCTGGCTTCCCAGAACACGTCCTCACAGACCCCCTTCCGGCTACCGGCTTCCGGTCGTAGGGCCCTGCTGCACCTGCCGTGCAGGGCTGCCCGCTTGAGCGCCTGATTGGCAGTGGGAACGAGTCCGGAGAAGGGGAACAAGGAAAGAAGCTGAGAGAGGAAAAATGGGTGTGGCAGAGGCTTGGTCTCACATAGGAAACAAAGACGTGTAGGTGTAGGTTTGGAAGAAAAGTTGGTTTCAGGATTGAGTCAGACATTAGCAAGGACAGCCCCGGGGTTTTGACGTGAGGTCCTGAAAGCAAAGTTGGAGGCAAGCTGCTGTGTACCTCCGCTTCCCTGCAAGTTGAGGGAGTAATGGTTTGTGCTGAGGTTTTCCATAAACGGATTGCTCATTGTGGGTATAGAGATTTCGTTGTTTATTGGAATCCGTGGCGCCAACTTCACCTGTCTCAAGTTACCCGCTCACTTGTCTGTCTATTCGCCCTATTTGTCCACCCAATAAATCCACATTGAATGAGTGGTTACTATGTGTCTTGTCTAGGGGGGAAAACCAGCTTGCCCCTCCCTCAGAAGTCGCGGTCTAGGAAAGAAAAACTCTATACACGAAAATCATTCTACGATGTAGTTAGTCCAGAGAGATCCACAGAGATTGAGCCAAGTTGGGGCTGTGCCCGGTGGGAGACACGGACTTCACGAAGGAGGTAGCAGTTGAGTTGTAATTTGAAGAATATGGACTCTTTGCCTCTCCCCGGTAGACCTAGCCCATCCTCCCAGGCTTATCTGCAGCCTTTCCCAAGGGAGGCGATGTTCCTCTTCCTTTGACAAGTAGATGCTTCCATTTTCCTGTATCCTGGATCCCACCCGTGCACATTTCTTTCCCTAACATAAATTTTTCCATTTATTCTAATATTTATTGAGCATCTACTATGCACCAGGCGCAGACACTGGGGGTAAGATTACAATGCTGTTGTTAGTCACAAAGCCATGACTTCAGAACCTGTTTGTACTGAACTATGTAGATCTTCTTGCCCTTACAGTTCCTCATGCCGTTTAATGTAAGTTATATCTTTACTCACGAAGCTGCATCATACTTCATACTGCCCATGAATACTGGCTTCCAATGACTCAAAGATTGTTACAGTGTTTCACTGATGATGACACTAATGCAATTCTTACCTAGAGTATGCAGGAAAATGTGAATAATATTTCACTATCCAGAGCTTGATAGTGTAAACGTACAATATGTCTTCTCTTTTATTCTTTAAGCCTTGATACCATGTTCCTAGAAAGTAATCTTTTTCAGTATTGACAGCAACCCTACCTTCCAAATGCTGACACAAGGTTATGGAATGGATAAGAAAGGGGCCTGGGGTTGGAGCAAGATGAGAAGTCTCATTCATGTAAGGAACTTCTGACCCTCACCTGGAATGGTTGTAAAGCCAGTTGGCATTACAGAGTAATGGTCTAAAATAGAGAAGATAGGCATGGCCACTCCTGGGGTACTGCCTAGCATATGATGTGAAGCCCATGGAGAGGCCACCCTATTATGGGTGGAGGGCGCACAGGTTAAAGAATGCTAGTGTGCTATAGACTGGAAGCAGTGTACGGAAGTCAGAAAACAGGCTGATGAGAGCCATGGCATAAACTCACACAAGTAGCTCCACCCTGAAGGTCAATGGTGGACTGTCAGTAGCCCAGAGTTTCAAACTCATCCTGTATTCATTGTGAATGAGAGTCACTCAAAATCAAGGAGTACCATTTTGGTAGCCACAAAGGAAATGCTGTATCCGTCCTTAGAAGCAATCTGTTGCTAGGTTGCCCTGAATAACCCCATAAACGTAAGTCTTGAAGCTCTCCAGAGCATCTAGTTAACCCTGCACATTGAGTAGAGGGTCAGAGAGTACCCTAAAGTGGAGAAACAGACTGGGTCTATTCCAGCAGCTGCAGGAGGACTTAGAAAATCTCAAGAACACCACTCTAAACTGTGGAACCCCCCAAGGCCCTTGCCTAAATCTGAGAACAATACTATATGGTAGATTAAAGATGTCCAGCCTGAATTCCTGCCCCAATAAGTCAAGAGATATAATAAAATGGCTGATATTTTAAGCCAATGAATTTTGGGATAGTTTGTTATGCAGCAATAGATACCTGACCTCAAAGAGTTTACTATCTGGTTGAGGAGACAAAGTACAGAGTTTATGAAAAGGTAGCAGTGCAAGACAATGTACAGATATGTAATAAGTTGTAAAAACAATTAAGTTCTATCAAAATGTAGAGAAGGAAGAGATCCCATTGAAATAGACAATGAAGGAAGACTTCCCAGAAGATATGGGCCAGAAGAAGCCGTGGGCCAGGCTAGAGAAATGCCTTGTGAGCCCCTGCTCTTTGGGGCCACGTAGAGCAGGGTATGTGTGTGAGGGAGCATCTGTGGAGTGAAGGCCTGATGGAGGGGGAGGTGGCAGTATGTGGGGCAGTGGAAGGGGAGGCCAGTCATCTCTGGGTCATGTCGGTCCTGGGGGGAGAAGGACGCTGTGTGTCAGTACATCAAGCTCTGGTCTGGCTTTGTTTAGGCTTCAAGGAATGACTGAGGGATCCATCTTTCTGGACTCTTAATAATTCTCTCATTCATTCCTTTTAGCCCAGTTGTGTGGAGGTATCTGACTTCACAGATAAGAAAACTGAGGTTCATGGGATTAGGTAAAGTATCCAAAGTCACACAGCTGATCAGTGGTCGACTGAGACCTGAGCTCAGCTCCCTGGCTCCCCCCATGGGCTTGGAAGTGTCAGAAGGATCAGATGCACCCGATCAGGCCCAGCTGAAACCCCATATCTTCTGGGAAGATCTATTAATACTTAATAGAATCATTAAGGTGTGTGGGAAGGCAGGCATAGGGTGTTCCGGCAAGCAGAAAGGTAAAGTTGAGAAGGTGTAGGTAGGCCCGGGAGGCAGTCTGTGTGTTTTCTCTTGGCTAGAGCAGGGAGCTTTTGCAGCAGAGCAAGATGGCGAAAGTTATTCTTCAGATGGGAAAAACGGTTTGCCTCCATCCTGCAGGCTATGAAGAATGTCTGAAGGGCTTTGAGCCTTGGGTGAAGGATGAAGTAGTGTTTCAGGAAAATCAGTATGATGACTCCGTGCTCTCTCTTCTTTGAACTTCAAGAGGCCCCCCACAGTTGTAGAATTTCAGGATATAGCAAACCAACCCATAGTCTGTTTGTTCCCTTTGCAGCATGATAAACTGGGAATGTCCCTCTGGAGGCTTCTCTCTCTAACGTAGAGTCTTTTGGGTCTGTCCAACTTGGTGATACATAATTCTTATCTCTGAAACCATATTAATCTGTTATGCCACTCTGGTCATCCTGATCAGACCAAGTGCAATAATTGTGACTCTTTCTAGCAAAGTCAGTACCGCCTGTGTTCTCCCTTCCCTAGTTCTCCCCCAATCTTCCTCAGCTTCTCTTGCCCCTATTGTCTATCCCACCTGCACCAGTGCTCACAGCTGCTTTGTACAACTGGTGCCAGGTGTAAACACGTCACATCTTCCCTACTAAACTGTAAAAGCCTGTCAAGAGGCCCTCATCATTCCTCACCAAACCTCATATCAAGTCTCCCTGCTTCCTCTCCCTCCCCTTTCTAATCATCCTCTTCAATGTTGCCCCAAAGATCTTTCTAACACACAGATTTGAAGTCACTTGATAGCCCCCTGGTGCTTACAGAACACAGTTAAAGATATTTATCTGGTTTCATGGCTTCTCCTTTCCCCAACCCTAACTAGGGTAATTGCAACTCTCCTCACAAAGGACCTGTGTGTCTTCTGGCCTTTGCATGCACTGTTCTCTCTGCTTCAAACACCTTTCCCTCTGTCTCAAATAGGCCTGTCAGCTCCTATTAATTCTTCAAGTCTCAGCTGTAGTTCCACCTCCTTTAGGAAGTTTGCCTCACCCCCAGGCTGGGTTGAATCTCTCCACCATGCTCCCTGGGCACCTGAGGCTCCCTCTCAGCACTGTTGTTGTTGTTGTTGTTATGTGCCGTCAAGTCAGACCCAACTCATAGCGACCCCTCCTTGGGTTTTCGAGGCAGTATCACTACAGAAGTACATTGCTCCATCTTCCTACCGAAAAGTGGCTGGTGAGTTTGAACCGCTAGCCTTCTGGTTAGCAGTCAAGTGCCTGTAGGCACTACGCTACCAGCACTAGTCCCAGGTATTCCAGTTCTCTGTCCACCAATCTACTTCCCTTACCAGATGGTGAGGCACCCTGAGAGCAGAGGAGGTGTCTTTCATCCCTATATTTCCCTAGCATCCAGCTCAGTGCCTGAAACATGGTGGGTACTTGTAATAGATCTGTCACCTTGAAATGGACTCCATTTAGTCAGCTCACTATCCTAAGTATTCTATGCTGGGCATTTTGGAGGTCCAGGATTATTCAAAAATTGACTTTGAGGCAATTGGAAACTGTCAGCAGCAGGGGGGCCATTCTTGCTGAAAGAGTCATCACTTGAAATCAGTGCAGAGTGTTAAATAAAATAAAAGACTTTCACAACTATGTTCTTATTCTGTGCTTGCAACCACCTGGTGAGAGGCAAGACGGCCATCACTGTCCTGGTTTTCTAGGCAAGGACATTGACTTCAGAGGAATTAATGTGCTTGCTGCCGACCAGGCTTGTTAGTGGTGGAGAATGGGGCTGCATCCACTCACCTCCAGGTAGCTGCTTTATCATCCTACCTTTTCTACCCAAAGAAGGCCTTGCCACCATCTAGGGGTGACCATTACACAGATAAATAGGATGACTCTGAATACCTTCTGCATTGGGCAGCAACAACAACCCCAAAAGCCCAAGAAACATAATCTTACTGCCTCTCAGCTTTCTCCTTTTTGGTGTAAAGCCGAGCAGACAGAAATGATGACATTTTGGAATTCAGAGACTGCAATGAATTGAGGGGAAAAAAGCACCTATGGTCCCTCCAGAACCCACCAGGTGAAGCAATGTTGCCCCAGGTGCTAAGGGAAGTGGGAAGGGGTCTCCAAGCAAGCTAC